CATATGTTACCAACCACTGCATTGATGTATCAGAACTTCATACAACTATTAAAGCTAACAATAAAAAAAATTAACGAAATAGCAGAACGTAGAGAGGACCAGCTTCAGAAATCAATTAGACGCGAGACGGCTGGATTGGATGAAGCAACCTTGACTGAACATTACACACCCGCTTGCTGAAGCTATTTATATCGTGGAGACATGCCGATTGGACACAGCATTACACTCAACAACACACGTGATGTTGCTCTATGTCGTCAATAGTCACATGATGAAAGCTTTGTTGTCAACAGTCACGTGATGAAAGTATTGAAGGCTATGTTGAAAGCTATCAAACAGCGGCAATATTAACACACGTGTTGAAAGCTATAGCTATGAAACCGTGGCAAAATTATGGAATAACTCTATGTAGTCAATAATCACATGTTTCAAGCTATGTTGAAAGCTATGTTTCAAGCTATGCTTAAAACTATGAAACAGTGGCAATGTTAACACACACTGAATGACTCTATGTAGTCAATAATCAAATGTTGAAAGCTATGTTGAAAGTTATGTTGATAGCTATGTTGAAAGCTATCAAACAGTTGCAATATTAACACACTTTGAATGACTCTATGTAGTCAATAATCACATGTTTCAAGCTATGTTGAAAGCTATCAAACAGTGGCAATATTAACACACTTTGATTGCCTCTATGTAGTCAATAATCACATGTTTCAAGCTATGTTGAAAACTATGTTGAAAGTTATGAAACAGTGATGTATGTATATAGTCGATAATCACATGTTGAAATCTATGGAACACGGCGATGTAAACTTAAATTGTCTCTATATATTATCAGTATGCACATTGAATACCTCCGTCAAGTCAATTTAAAAATGTAAAAAAATAGTTACTTAAACTTAAACACACATGGAAATTCTCCATATACAAGAATCACATATACAAGTTGTGTTGCAATGGACACGTAGACATACACATATAATCCCTCAATGTAGTCAACAATTACATATTTAAAGCTTTGAAAGAGTGCCTGCTTGATATATTACAATATTTGTGTAAAAAGTTTAACAGTGAATGTCTAATATTTTGTGTTTACTTATATGATTTGTTATGTTATAGTTGGGAAGAAAAAAAATGTTTAAGCTAATATCTATGGCTTCCAATCCATCTACAAGTTTATCTTTGAAAAGTGGTAGGCCTTGAGTGGAAAACAAAATGGCGATTTTCTCAAGTATGTTAACTGACCTTTGAGTTTTGTCATTCGGTCAGCTGTCCCATTTGTCCCCTCTCTATCTAATTCAGCCCATGTAGGTCAGGTGTTTCCAGTAGCTAAACAAAGGGTCAGGTGTGTTCATTGACCCACCGGCCAGTGCTGGCGTACGGTGTGTGGTTCTTGTTTATCAAATAACTGGTGGTATAGAGGCCTCGTCTCGGATAACACGAAAGGTCGCTTGTTCATCGTCGATATCGGTCATTGGTGATGTTGATGACAGGTGATCTTGATAAACATGGACACAAATGGCCAGTGGCATTGATAAACATGGACACTAATGGTCACTAATGGACACTAATGGACACTAATGGTCAGTGACATTGATAAACATGGACACAAATGGCCAGTGACATTGATAAACATGGACACTAATGGACACTAATGGCCAGTGACATTGATAAACATGGACACAAATGGCCAGTGACATTGATAAACATGGACACTAATGGCTAGTGAAGTTGATAAACATGGACACAAATGGCTAGTGAAGTTGATAAACATGGACACTAATGGACACAAATGGCCAGTGACATTGATAAACATGGACACTAATGGCCAGTGACCTTGATAAACATGGACACTAATGGCCAGTGAAGTTGATAAACATGGACACAAATGGCTAGTGAAGTTGATAAACATGGACACTAATGGACACAAATGGCCAGTGAAGTTGATAAACATGGACACTAATGGCCAGTGACATTGACAAACATGGACACTAATATCCAGTGACATTAATAAACATGGACACTAATGAACACTAATGGCCAGTGGCATTGATAAACATGGACACAAATGGACACAAATGGCCAGTGACACTGATAAACATGGACACTAATGGCCAGTAACATTGATAAACATTCTTTAATATCTTCATACGATGTACATGTGTTAGTTACTCGTGTGTTAGTTACTCATCACAAAATCTACCACATCCTATCGCCGTTTAAATCGCTGTACAATTAACGAAACAATGACTATTTCGATATATGTTCGTAAAATCATATTATATTTAAAAAAAAAACAGATTTATGATAAAAAAAAACGGCGTAGTCTAGGCAACCAGCTGATAAACAATTTAGTCTAATGGCTGATCGATCTATGTTAAACTTCTCAGCATATGTGACAACTAATTCTCAGTGTTTAAAGCATGTTTTCAAAAGACTAAGCAATTTTATTCCCACTTCCTCGCACAATTGCATCAGCATTGTGTTCATCAATAGACCAGTAACTACACCACGTTCAGATTGCGTCTAAAACTTCACATGGTTTCAAAGCATTTCCTCTTCACTGAAGAGTCTTCAGTGTTATATACCATACCACCCTTCAGTGTTTCTTTCAGAATTTTTTTCTCCGGGGAGGGTGTAGGCATTGAAACTTTTGGGGAGGAGAAGCACTTAATTAGCCGGGGGCATGGCATCCCCTTCCCCAGGAGAGATGGCTGAAAGAAACTCTACCTCCCCTGTTTCGTACATATTGATTCTAACCCTCTCCCCTCCAACCACATACCCAATAACGATCTTAAACGTTTAATTTAATGTTCTGTGGCCTAACTAGCTTGTTGCTTTTCACAAACTTCATATGCACTGAAACTAACTTCTTTTAGTCTCGAGTTTAGGGTTAGCTGTGCTTAATTTAGGTTCCCCTTAAAAGTAAGGTTAGCTGTGATTTGTTGGTTCTACTATCGGGTTTAGGGTTAGCCTATGATTAGTTTAATAGTTTTCCTGAATTTTGTTTAGGGATTGTTGCAGGGCCTATAGGTTTAATCGATATGAAGGTGTCAGGTCTCACATACGTTTCTTCATATTGGAAGAGAAAGAAAAAAAATACATAATAGTCTAATATAGATCTCTCTATGTATAGAAGACTAACCTTGACATTGTGTGAATACAACACACACGAGTCTGTTCGGGAAAGAGAAAATATAGTGAAAGATTTGGATAGCAGGCTAGGAAATAAACAAAACAAGTATTATGATCAACGATCAGTGCTCAAGACTACTAGTCTAAATATAGGATGTATCAGATTTCCTATGTTGGTCTACTTTCACTTATTCTATATGAAGTCGATCTATGACTAAACTTTAGACTTTAGACATCACAAGATACTAGCAATTACAGAGTTATTTTTTCAGCATTTGGTTACGTCAATAGGCGCATATTTTAGCTGTTATATAATGCTGTCACTTAGACCATCAATGGCGAAATTTTGATGCATAAGACGCCATCTAAATATAGGATTCTTGAGGAGAAAAGTGACAAAAAGCAAGATATGTCTAAAATGTACGAGGCCTTGTTGGGGATATTTTAAAAATGGTATAATCAATATCTCTCGCTTATCACTATCATTCAGCATGTTGGGCTATTGTTACTTTCACTTCTTTACAAAACAAATGTCTTTATCTTAACGGAAAAAAGTTGTGTACGTGAAGTGTCGTGTCACTGTCCGGTATGTCAACAGGTACAAATAGTTTAAAACAAAGTTCGCTGGCTTAAAACGGGGTGATAAGAATGGGAATGGTAGGACGCAGGTCCATGTGCACTATATAGAGCAAACGAAGGAAATCTGTTGCATGTAGATCTATATGCAGTATGTTATCAGTGTTTATTACGTTGTTCGTTTAATAAAAACAACAACAGAAATGTGTAGAAAACAAGGGAAAAAAATCCATATCTGTATTTAGGTCAAACCTTGTTGACAGTTGGCTGAAAGCCAAAATGGCCGCTTGGCACGACAAATAGACTGGAATTATGTAACTGGCAGGATTTCAGAGTTTGGTATTGATAAAGCAGTTTATCAGATGTTCTGTTTAAAGGGATGGTGAATTATACGGGGTTAAATTTTTGTCGACTCACGATGAATCACTCTAGTGGCGGAAGAATGCACTTGATATCACGTGTGACGCTCAGGCAAAAGTGAAAAGTAGCAATGAAAACAAGATTATACTTCACCGAATAATTAATTAATAGACCTACATAATGTAAAATCTGTTGACGTCTTTTTTTATTGTGTTGCGTCACTAGAGTTTTTATTTATTTGGCCTAGGTCTAACTCAAAGCTCACTAAAATATAAGCTTACATAGGCTATAAAAGCTATTATTTATAGGAAAACATTGCAGCTTCTATATTAGTCTATGTATTAGGGTACTAGCCTATCAATAAGGGCTTGAATATAGGGCCTAAAACATCATTACAAAATATCAGCCAGTCTTTGAATCCCCAAATATATAATACATTCAAAAGAAGAGTTATGTAAGCCAGATGACACGTATTGAGTTCACACACATGGGCGTCAACGGGGGCTGTGGTGCAGAACTTGAGCTTCAGTGTGTTGGCCGGTCCCTGCTTAAAGTGTAACAATCTACAGATTATTACAAACAACACAAAATTAAGGAGTTTTTTTTTAAAGATGTATCAGAGAAACTCTGAATATATTAAAAATCACTACATTACATACCAAGGCTGACCCAGAAAGTTGAATGTTTTAATAATAAAAAAAAAACAACGGTTAATTATATTAACCTACTAAAATTAGAACATACCAGGTATATTCAAGTAAACAAAACTCATTCTTTTTAATTTCGTCAAAGGACTTTGCACTGGTTGATAAAAATAAAAACATTTAATTATAAATCTAATTACATAAAATAAAGCGAAAAAAAAGTAACCCTGCAGAATAAAAACCCTCGCAGAACCCCAATCCGGACGAAACAGCCGAGTCATGTGACCAACCAGTATATATAGCTCAGGCGCAGAAACCAAATCAGAGTTAGTTGTCTTGCTACGTCAGTGAACGTACAGGCAATCTCGAGCGAAAAATCCAGTCTTTACCAAACAACTCGTCGTTCGTTTCATAACATCTTCGACACTTACGTAAACACCAACTGCAAGAAAATGGCCGTTAGTCAATGTCGTCAGAATTTCCACTCGGAAAGCGAGGCGGGGATCAACCGTCAGATCAACATGGAGCTGTACGCCAGCTACTGCTACCAGTCTATGGTGAGTCACTTCACATTTTTTGTATTTGCTAGATTCTACGCTTGAGCGGCATCAAGAAGGGGAGTTGATCAGTTTGTGCCGTCTTGCACAACGATTCTCGACTCGACAAAACTTGGCGCGACGCCGGGGCCGCTCCAAGGTCGTGACATTTTTTTGACGAGAGAGCCATGTTGACACGCATGATTGAACTATTGGATTGACCTTCACCCTGGACGCGAGTCTTCAATGAGGGCATTTATGTCACGAGTTAAAATAAAAATAAACAGTCGTAGGGTACATCTAGATTTGGATGCTTGCTACTGTTTTTTCAAAGCATAGGCCATATTTATAATTTGGATTATTTTAAACTGGGTTACATCATGTTAATTATTTGACTAGATGGCTAGATCTTTTGATCTATGATGAGACTTTTTAAAAGTAGAGCTAGGGCCTATAAAATTTTGGTAATCTATCGTTTTGGGTAGGTAAAATGGCCCGCAACACTAGTAATGTGAAAAACAGGTGACCCCCTTTAATTTTAAGAATTATTTCACATTTTGAGGAGGATTTATGTTTTGAAAAATTCTTGTTTCATTTATGTATCTGTTTTTAAACAATTGAATTGAAACTTTTCAGTAATAAATGAAGACTTTCGATGTTTCCAACAGATGCAACCATGCTCATTTACTATAGCAACCATCTTGTTTAAGTTTTTTTTTTGTAAACTTATAGCGCACGATTCAGGGGGAAGCCACTCTATTTTACAAATGGCTGCTTTTTAAATAGCAAATCTTGCTCGCAAACACTACTGTTTAAAGTTAATTTCTGGCATATATTGATATATTTAGCCATTGATTTAGGTTTATTGTTCATTTATCTATATTTGACACAAATATATCACAATATACTTCTATTAAAGCCTTGACAATGAGGTAACTTTTGTACATTAATAGCCGCGGGCAATTTTACGTACCCAAAAGGATAGATTACCCAAATTTTAATATTTGAGAATAGAGGTGAGGGGGAAATTCTATAATTGGGCATGTAGTCCTATGCTTAAATATATCTATGCGTTGGCACAGTGGGTCTCCAAAGCAGTTTTGTTTTGGAGTGGGAGGGATGATACATTAAAATTGTGTCATAAAAAGATGAGGCCCTATATGAATCATAGAATAAAAATGTTTTCCCGCAGGACACTTGTTAAAAATGTGATCCACAAAAGCTTAAGAAAACAAATTCCTGCTCATAACCCACTTGTTTTTTTATTTTGTAATTTTTAGACTTTTTACATTGCTTTTTATTTTTTTTCACATTTACTGTTATAATATCCAAAATATTGTCGCTGGCAGAATGCTTTATCCCATAGCATTTGCATATCTTTTTGGGCATACTACTTTGAACCTACCATTTGTATATTTCTTTAGGCCTTCTTCGACCTTTACATGTACACATCTATTTAGCCCAACTATTTAACTGGAACTTTTATATCTATTTAGGTCTACCACTGTCTTTCATACTTTATCCTTAACATTTGTATATCTCTCTAGGCATACTACTTCGACTCCACCATTTATTTGGGCCACTACTTAAACCTATATATTAAACAATCTCTCTAGGCTTACTATTTTATCCTTAACCTTCGTATATTTCTCTAGGCCTACTACTTTATCCTTAACATTTATCTCTCTAGGCCTACTACTTTATCCGTAACATTTATCTCTCTAGGCCTACTACTTTATCCGTAACATTTATCTCTCTAGGCCTACTACTTTATCCTTTATATTTATCTCTCTAGGCCTACTACTTTATCCTTTATATTTATCTCTCTAGGCCTACTACTTTGACCGAGATGATGTTGCACTTCCCGGCTTCTCCAAGTTTTTCAAGCACCAATCTGATGAGGAGCGTGAGCACGCTGAGAAGTTCATGAAATATCAGAACAGGCGTGGAGGTCGCATTGTCCTGCAGGACATCAAGGTAATCTTTTTGTCCTTAAAATTTCAGTTGCTAAGAATTTAAAACTTTGTCCTTAAAATTTCAGTTAAAATGCTTTTGCTACAGTAAATATCTGTTCGGCTAGAGAATTGTTGCCTTTAAAAAAAGTTTTTGTACCGTACCTGAATGGCTGTTTGGTATTGATTAGAGGTCTTCCGATTCTCTGCCTATATATAGATATTAACTTGTGACAGCATTTAAATCAAGATGCCTTTACCTCTTTGCATTATTGTATAGTTTAAATGTAAACTGTGGGGAATATAACATTTTATAACAAACAAAAAAAATTCACTTCACCTTTCTTTCAATAATTACATCCAATAGTCTGTTCAAATTCTTTGCCGTTAATATAAGCTACTAGTTTTAATGTTTGTCAATGACAGTAAAGAAATGTATGAATGTATTATGTGAGGTGTAAAACTACTTTATTGCAAGAATAACCAACTTTATATTGACTTGTTGAACTGGTATAGAGTATACACTAATATAGACCCAAGACTGAACATAGAATAGATTATTGATTGTCAAAGGTTTTCTTATAGTTCAAAGTAAATGTTACAGTGGCGTAGCCAGGATCATCTCAAGGTGGGGGGGGGGGGTCCAATTTTTACCCGGGGACAAACTTTTGATTTGCACCCCCCCCCTCATACTTTTTATATATATACTGAGGGGTCTATGGGGGGTTATGACCCCCCCTAACCCCCCTGCCTACGCCACTGAACTGTTATGAATATTTTCTGCAATAAATTTGCCCCAGAACAGATTATCTTGTATCTTTAGTTTAATGTAAGCTGTTACAAATAGTATTCTGTATGTGTTAATTTTGTTTGTCCCAGAAACCTGAAAGGGATGAGTGGGGAACAGGCCTTGAAGCCATGCAGATGGCCCTACAGCTGGAGAAGAGTGTGAACCAGTCCTTGTTAGACTTGCACAAGCTGTGCAGCAGTCATGATGATGTCCAGATGGCAGATTTCCTAGAGTCTGAGTACCTGGAGGAGCAGGTCAAGTCCATTAAGGAGATCAGTGACCACATCACCAACCTGAAGCGCGTGGGACCTGGACTCGGAGAGTACATGTATGACAAGGAGAGCCTCAGCAGTTAAGCCGCTGACCAGCTGCCAGTCAAGGTCAAGTTGCTGACCGTATGGGCCATGTCTACGTGTTTGTCCGTCTTGCTTTTGGAGTAGAAATTTTAAACTAAAGCCGTAAGATCTACAAATTTGGAATCTCTTGTTTTGAAAAGATTTTCTTGTTTTATAACTTGTATAAGAAAAAGGGCCCAATAAATTTATGTCAATGTTAATTTCTTGCTTTTGTTTTGATTTTAAATAAATATTCTTTATAAATGTTTCTTAGAAATATTTTTATCTGGTAGAAATGTATTCAAAAAATAAATGTTTTCCTTGAATTTGAGTAACTAGTGTAGTATTTCAAAAATTAACAGTAGGGAAAAAGTTTTTACATGAAATTTTGATCAATTCTAGAAGCTTGATTGTTAGCTAAAGATAATGTAGGATTGTTAGTAGTTACTAACTGCTCATATATGACATGGGTATTTCTTTACAAATACGAATTAAATCTCTTTGGAAGAAACTGCTTTTAGACTTAAAAATAAGGCTATTTGAGGTATGCCCTGACCTACTTTTTAAATTACAAGGGGAAGCTACTGGCATTGCCTCCTGGGTATCCAGTAAGGAAGAATCTAGCTCCAGAGCTCAGAAAATTGAGTTAACAGGTAAACTTGTTCAAATTTTTTTTTTTGGAAGCCTGAAGATCATTTACAGGGTTAAACTAGAGGAATTTGTTGGGAGTTGTTCTTTTATAGTAAGTGCTAGTTCTGTCCAAGGATTAGTTTTAAACCTGAAGTAAGTAGATATAAAATAGAAATGTTATCAAATGCCTTTCCACATTGGCAATGTGCAACAAAATTGGCCAACACAGGCTGACCATGTGTAACCAGTTGGCCACTGCAGACTGTCTATAGATAACCAACTGTCCAATACTTGATGACAATGAACACACGTCAGCACATGCCAACTTGCCAGATGTCTCTCCCCACTGTCATTAAGGCCAGTGTCTACCATTCTAATTACATTAATTAGCATTCTTTACCAATTAATCGTCAGATAGACTAAATAAATTCGCGATCCACTATGCAGCATGTTTTTAGTGTTCTGTTATTTCTAAATTGAATATTTATGGGTGGTTCTCCGAGGAGACATGGCCAGGTCCACCCCCCCCCCCCCCCCCCCATAAAATCGTCATCACCCCCTCCCTTCGCCCCCTGCTACACACTGTCAGCCCACACAAGCTACGAACAGATAAGTCAACAAGTTGCTCCGTCCCTACAAGACAAAATGGCGGCGAGAGCTGGCGATATCGTTTCTAGGCCACACAGATAGCATTTACAGACAGGTCAGATCGTTAGCTTAGCCTTCTCCACCCCTCGTTTGTTGTTTATTGTTCTCGCGATATCTCAGAGGTCAAAGGTCTAATCCTTTCCGCTAACCTGTGTGTTGTCTTCTACAGGTAGGTTTCAGGTAATTATTACCTCCCCTGAATGGACTTATCATAAAGCAATTATTACCTCCCTTGAACTTGCTTTTATTAACTGCCCTGAGAGAACAGGCGTAGCTTAAAATTTTTACTTTATCTTTTAGACAAAAAAAAATACAAAAAAAAAAACGCGTATGGAGGTGTTAGCTATGACAAGCACAGCAGTGGGGTAAGCAGAAGTCTACGTTTAACTCAGTATTCATTGAATAGTGGCGTTCCTCACCCCCTCCCCCCCACCCCCTCCCTTATACTTCTACACAAAATGGACCCGGATTGTGTTGGTAATGAGCTAGATCTTGACACAATCTGCAACAGCTGGGTTCTTGCCGTATTATATCTAGTCTCTCTTGGGTTGGTTTCCTCCCGTCCTACTCCCCTCCTCCCCACCCACTTATACACATGGCCCGCTATCTCTTGTCTTGTTGGTAGTATCTTTTTCCCAACTTCAACCTAAACTAAGCCAGATACAACAACTTGTTGTTCTAGAGGCTTCACCCCCTCCCCCCGCACACCCACACATACCCTACTTCAACCCAAACTAAGCCTGCTACATTGTTGTTCTAAAGGCTTCCCCCCTCGCCCCTCCCTCCCCCACACACATGCTGCTAAAACTAAGTTGAAGTTAGGCTACTCCATCTGGTCTAAGTCGGCCTCTAGTTCTCGTACATCCGCACGTGATTTCCAACGTTTGTGTTTATGGCCAGGTTTCTCGGGGATGGCGAGCATTTTTAGGTCAACTTTGTCGGCAGACGACATTCCCGCGCTGGTCTACAGGCTGTACCGTCTAAAGGTCAGGGTCATCAAAGAACTGAGCAGCTATGACGATCAGAATTTTCTGGTCGAGGAGGTCGATGAAGGGGAGGATTGTTCGGGAGGGAAATGTCCGGATCGTGTCCAGTTTGTGGTCAAAGTACTGAACTCACTCGATTCACGGAAGCCAAGCGTGATAGGTAACTATTTTGTATGCTTGGTGGTAACATACAGGTTATATAACTATTTGTATTAGTTTTAAATACTAGATTTGACCAAAAATTATTATGGAATGAAGGATATGGATTAATTAAGTGCAGAGTTTCTTCCAGGCACCCCCCCCCCCCCGAACGAAATGAAATTTATAGAATTTATATAGAAAATATATACTTTTAACAGTGTCCGCCCCCCCGAAGAAAGTCTACCGCCCCCCCCCCCCCCCCGAAAATTTCAAGTGCCCCCCCCCCCCCCCGGAGAAAAAAGTCTGGAAGAAACACTGATTAAGTGGAACATTTTTGGAGAATTTCTGCAGGTGTGTATCTTGCAAATCTTCTTAGCGGTCAATAAACTTAAAAATGTGTAAATTGATTATCGAATGAGAACCGTTATTTCAAAAAATTAATAACATTTTGTCCTTTTTTTTAACTCTCATTAAAAAAGCCAGTGGTTAAGGAGAAGATAACCCGTATAATTCAATTGACTCAGAATAAAAAATAAATTACTTCCCCTTTGTCAATATTCAGATTCAATATCTATGTAAAACGTAGTTTAAAATCTTGCTAAACGTTTAATTGTTATATAGATCCAGGGGCGTAGCGAGGGGGGGGGGGGGCGGGGGGTGCGGACCGCACCGGGTGACACCATTTAGGGGGGGGGTGACACCAAGGCAAAAAATAGCAAAATATATAGAGAAAAACTTGAGGGGGGGGGTGCAAATCCAAAGTTTGAGGGGGGTGGGTGCAAATCGAAAGTTTGACGGGGGGGGGGGGGTGCAAATAAAAAAATTGAAAGTTTGTCTCCGGGAAGGGTCACTACGCCTCTGGGGGGGGTGACACCATTAAGTGCCGCACCGGGTGACACCCGACCTCGCTACGCCACTGTATAGATCTATCTAGCTAGCTGAATGAGTTAAAATATGATAACTCACTGAAACTACAGACGTGTATAATTGTACCTTTTTAATACTTCGTAAATGATAATTATATTAAAAACATCGTTTTATTACTGAATACTTCTACTTTTACCGAGAGTTTAAACATGTCCATTTTGTCCACGTCTGCATGTGACAGAGCAGCAGACCCGACTGATTGAGTACGTGAGACAGGCTGGCTACCCCACCCCCGGGCCTTTGATGAATGGTGGCGGCCAGTACCAGCAGCTGGTTGATCTGTCCACAACAAGGAGCAAACGTAGGTCTAAAGTAATCTTGTACTTCAGTGTGAATTAAAGTAGGTCAACAGTAATCTTGTACTTCAGTGTGAATTAAAGTAGGTCAACAGTAATCTTGTACTTCAGTGTGAATTAAAGTAGGTCAACAGTAATCTTGTACTTCAGTGTGAATTAAAGTAGGTCAACAGTAATCTTGTACTTCAGTGTGAATTAAAGTAGGTCAACAGTAATCTTGTACTTCAGTGTGAATTAAAGTAGGTCAACAGTAATCTTGTACTTCAGTGTGAATTAAAGTAGGTCAACAGTAATCTTGTACTTCAGTGTGAATTAAAGTAGGTCAACAGTAATCTTGTACTTCAGTGTGAATTAAAGTAGGTCAACAGTAATCTTGTACTTCAGTGTGAATTAAAGTAGGTCAACAGTAATCTTGTACTTCAGTGTGAATTAAAGTAGGTCAACAGTAATCTTGTACTTCAGTGTGAATTAAAGTAGGTCAACAGTAATCTTGTACTTCAGTGTGAATTAAAGTAGGTCAACAGTAATCTTGTACTTCAGTGTGAATTAAAGTAGGTCAACAGTAATCTTGTACTTCAGTGTGAATTAAAGTAGGTCAACAGTAATCTTGTACTTCAGTGTGAATTAAAGTAGGTCAACAGTAATCTTGTACTTCAGTGTGAATTAAAGTAGGTCAACAGTAATCTTGTACTTCAGTGTGAATTAAAGTAGGTCAACAGTAATCTTGTACTTCAGTGTGATTAAAAGTAAGTCAACAGTAATCTTGTACTTCAGTGTGAATTAAAGTAGGCCAACAGTAATCTTGTACTTCAGTGTGAATTAAAGTAGGTCAACAGTAATCGTGTATTTCAGTGTGAATTAAAGTAGGTCAACAGTAACCTTGTACTTCAGTGTGAATTAAAGTAGGTCAACAGTAACCTTGTACTTCAGTGTGAATTAAAGGAGAAGTAGGTCAACAATAATCTTGTACTTCAGTGTGAATTAAAGTAGGTCAACAGTAACCTTGTACTTCAGTGTGAATTAAAGGAGAAGTAGGTCAACAATAATCTTGTACTTCAGTGTGAATTAAAGGAGAAGTAGGTCAACAATAATCTTGTACTTCAGTGTGAATTAATGATTTTTCATAAAGGATTTAGTATATAGTCAACAGAAGATTTATTTTAAATATATTCACCCTTTTTTTAAAATAAATGTCGAAATTTTAATCGCTTAAAAGCTTATTCCAATAAACAGATAATTTATTTATGGTTCGACTATATTAATATTTTAATTAACTGCCTATTCATTTGTGGTTATATTATTTAAATATATCAACAGATGAGCCGTTCATTGCCCAAGTATTTAAATATTATAATCCTAGAGGAGTCTTTTATTGTCCAACTATTTAAACATTACCATCAACAGATGAGTACTCTATTGTCCGACTATTTTAATATTACCATCAACAGATGAGTACTCCATTGTCCGATTATGTAAACATTACAATCAACAGATAAGTACTCTATTGTCCGACTATTTAAATATTACTACCAACAGATGAGGCCTTCATTGTCCAACTATTTTAATATTACCATCAACAGATGAGACCTTCATTGTCCGACTATTTGAGTACATCCCTGGTGTTACTCTAGCCCAAGTGAGACTCACCCTAAAGTTGTGTTACCAGCTCGGGGTCTATGCTGGTTGGATGGACCAGGTCCTGGCGGTATGTAAAGTCAAACTTTTTAAATGATCCTCTCTTGTACAAAGTTGCTTCTTGCTTTACACATGGGGGTCACAGAGACCAGTCTAAGGTGTACAAACTATGAATTGTTTTCTTGTATTGAGAAAGTCTTCTTTATCTTGTCAATTAAACCATACGCACTGGGTATGTGGGTGGGGGGGGGGGAGAGGGCGTGTTACAGTATATTAACTATAGCGTAGTATAGCTTATTTCAAGTGGTGAGGGTGACAAAGTTACCTCACTATGTGTCATTCGACCTACTGATGCATTGCCGAGCAAGTTTCTTGTAGACCTACCATTCTCCCATAGACCTACCATTCTCCCATATACCTACCATTCTCCGATAGATCTACCATTCTCCCATCATGTAGACCTACCATTCTCCCATCTTGTAGACCAACCATTCTCCCATAGACCTACCATTCTCCCATAGACCTACCATTCTCCCATAGACCTACCACTCTCCCATCATGTAGACCTACCATTCTCCCATCATGTAGACCTACCATTCTCCCATAGACCTACCATTCTCCCATAGACCTACCATTTTCCCATAGACCTACCATTCTCCCATAGACCTACCATTCTCCCATAGACCTACCATTCTCCCATCATGTAGACCTACCATTCTCCCGTCTTGTAGACCAACCATTCTCCCATAGACCTACCATTCTCCCATAGACCTACCATTCTCCCATCTTGTAGACCTACCATTCTCCCATAGACCTACCATTCTCCCATAGATCTACCATTCTCCCATCTTGTAGACCTACCATTCTCCCATAGACCTACCATTCTCCCATAGACCTACCATTCTCCCATAGACCTACCATTCTCCCATAGACCTACCATTCTCCCATCTTTTAGACCTATCATTCTCCCATCATGTAGACCTACCATTCTCCCATAGACCTACCATTCTCCCATAGACCTACCATTCTCCCATAGACCTACCACCCTCCCATCATGTAGACCTACCATTCTCCCATCTTGTAGACCTACCATTCTCTCATCTTGTAGACCAACCATTCTCCCATAGACCTACCATTCTCCCATAGACCTACCATTCTCCCATCATGTAGACCTACCATTCTCCCATCATGTAGACCTACCATTCTCCCATAGACCTACCATTCTCCCATCATGTAGACCTACCATTCTCCCATAGACCTACCATTCTCCCATAGACCTACCATTCTCCCATAGACCTACCATTCTCCCATCTTGTAGACCTACCATTCTCCCATCATGTAGACCTACCATTCTCCCATAGACCTACCATTCTCCCATAGACCTACCATTCTCCCATCTTGTAGACCTACCATTCTCCCATAGACCTACCATTCTCCCATAGACCTACCATTCTCCCATCTTTTAGACCTATCATTCTCCCATCATGTAGACCTACCATTCTCCCATAGACCTACCATTCTCCCATAGACCTACCATTCTCCCATCTTGTAGACCTATCATTCTCCCATCATGTAGACCTACCATTCTCCCATAGACCTACCATTCTCCCATAGACCTACCATTCTCCCATAGACCTACCATTCTCCCATAGACCTACCATTCTCCCATCTCGTAGACCTACCATTCTCCCATCTCGTAGACCTACCAATTAAACCATACGCACTGGGTATGTGGGTGAGGGGGGGGGGAGGGCGTGTTACAGTATATTGACTATAGCGTAGTATAGCTTATTTCAAGTGGTGAGGGTGACAAAGTTTCCTCACTATGTGTCATTCGACCTACTGATGCATTGCCGAGCAAGTTTCTTGTAGACCTACCATTCTCCCATAGACCTACCATTCTCCCATAGACCTACCATTCTCCCATAGATCTACCATTCTCCCATCATGTAGACCTACCATTCTCCCATCTTGTAGACCAACCATTCTCCCATAGACCTAACATTCTCCCATAGACCTACCATTCTCCCATAGACCTACCATTCTCCCATAGACCTACCATTATCCCATCATGTAGACCTGCCATTCTCCCATCTTGTAGACCTACCATTCTCTCATCTTGTAGACCAACCATTCTCCCATAGACCTACCATTCTCCCATAGACCTACCATTCTCCCATCTTTTAGACCTATCATTCTCCCATCATGTAGACCTACCATTCTCCCATAGACCTACCATTCTCCCATAGACCTACCATTCTCCCATCTTGTAGACCTATCATTCTCCCATCATGTAGACCTACCATTCTCCCATAGACCTACCATTCTCCCATAGACCTACCATTCTCCCATAGACCTACCATTCTCCCATAGACCTACCATTCTCCCATCTCGTAGACCTACCATTCTCCCATCTCGTAGACCTACCAATTAAACCATACGCACTGGGTATGTGGGTGAGGGGGGGGGGGAGGGCGTGTTACAGTATATTGACTATAGCGTAGTATAGCTTATTTCAAGTGGTGAGGGTGACAAAGTTACCTCACTATGTGTCATTCGACCTACTGATGCATTGCCGAGCAAGTTTCTTGTAGACCTACCATTCTCCCATAGACCTACCATTCTCCCATAGACCTACCATTCTCCCATAGATCTACCATTCTCCCATCATGTAGACCTACCATTCTCCCATCTTGTAGACCAACCATTCTCCCATAGACCTACCATTCTCCCATAGACCTACCATTCTCCCATAGACCTACCATTCTCCCATAGACTTACCATTATCCCATCATGTAGACCTACCATTCTCCCATCTTGTAGACCTACCATTCTCTCATCTTGTAGACCAACCATTCTCCCATAGACCTACCATTCTCCCATAGACCTACCATTATCCCATCATGTAGACCTGCCATTCTCCCATCTTGTAGACCTACCATTCTCTCATCTTGTAGACCAACCATTCTCCCATAGACCTACCATTCTCCCATAGACCTACCATTCTCCCATCTTTTAGACCTATCATTCTCCCATCATGTAGACCTACCATTCTCCCATAGACCTACCATTCTCCCATAGACCTACCATTCTCCCATCTTGTAGACCTATCATTCTCCCATCATGTAGACCTACCATTCTCCCATAGACCTACCATTCTCCCATAGACCTACCATTCTCCCATAGACCTACCATTCTCCCATAGACCTACCATTCTCCCATCTCGTAGACCTACCATTCTCCCATCTCGTAGACCTACCAATTAAACCATACGCACTGGGTATGTGGGTGAGGGGGGGGGGAGGGCGTGTTACAGTATATTGACTATAGCGTAGTATAGCTTATTTCAAGTGGTGAGGGTGACAAAGTTACCTCACTATGTGTCATTCGACCTACTGATGCATTGCCGAGCAAGTTTCTTGTAGACCTACCATTCTCCCATAGACCTACCATTCTCCCATAGACCTACCATTCTCCCATAGATCTACCATTCTCCCATCATGTAGACCTACCATTCTCCCATCTTGTAGACCAACCATTCTCCCATAGACCTACCATTCTCCCATCTTGTAGACCTATCATTCTCCCATCATGTAGACCTACCATTCTCCCATAGACCTACCATTCTCCCATAGACCTACCATTCTCCCATAGACCTACCATTCTCCCATAGACCTACCATTCTCCCATCATGTAGACCTACCATTCTTCCGTCTTGTAGACCTACCATTTTCCCATAGACCTACCATTCTCCCAAAGACCTACCATTCTCCCATAGACCTACCATTCTCCCATCATGTAGACCTACCATTCTCCCGTCTTGTAGACCAACCATTCTCCCATCTTGTAGACCTACCATTCTCCCATAGACCTACCATTCTCCCATAGACCTACCATTCTCCCATAGACCTACCATTCTCCCATCATGTAGACCTACCATTCTCCCATCTTGTAGACCTACCATTCTCCCATAGACCTACCATTCTCCCATAGACCTACCATTCTCCCATAGACCTACCATTCTCCCATCTTGTAGACCTACCATTCTCCCATCTTGTAGACCTACCATTCTCCCATAGACCTACCATTCTCCCATAGATCTACCATTCTCCCATCTTGTAGACCTACCATTCTACCATAGACCTACCATTCTCCCATAGACCTACCATTCTCCCATCATGTAGACCTACCATTCTCCCATAGACCTACCATTCTCCCATAGACCTACCATTCTCCCGTCTTGTAGACCTACCATTCTCCCATCATGTAGACCTACCATTCTCCCATCTTGTAGACCAACCATTCTCCCATAGACCTACCATTCTCCCATAGACCTACCATTCTCCCATAGACCTACCATTCTCCCATAGACCTACCATTCTACCATCTTTTAGACCTATCATTCTCCCATCATGTAGACCTACCATTCTCCCATAGACCTACCATTCTCCCATAGACCTACCATTCTCCCATCTTGTAGACCTATCATTCTCCCATCATGTAGACCTACCATTCTCCCATAGACCTACCATTCTCCCATAGACCTACCATTCTCCCATAGACCTACCATTCTCCCATAGACCTACCATTCTCCCATCTCGTAGACCTACCATTCTCCCATCTCGTAGACCTACCAATTAAACCATACGCACTGGGTATGTGGGTGAGGGGGGGGGGGAGGGCGTGTTACAGTATATTGACTATAGCGTAGTATAGCATATTTCAAGTGGTGAGGGTGACAAAGTTACCTCACTATGTGTCATTCGACCTACTGATGCATTGCCGAGCAAGTTTCTTGTAGACCTACCATTCTCCCACAGACCTACCATTCTCCCATAGACCTACCATTCTCCCATAGATCTACCATTCTCCCATCATGTAGACCTACCATTCTCCCATCTTGTAGACCAACCATTCTCCCATAGACCTACCATTCTCCCATAGACCTACCATTCTCCCATAGACCTACCATTCTCCCATAGACCTACCATTATCCCATCATGTAGACCTGCCATTCTCCCATCTTGTAGACCTACCATTCTCTCATCTTGTAGACCAACCATTCTCCCATAGACCTACCATTCTCCCATAGACCTACCATTCTCCCATCTTTTAGACCTATCATTCTCCCATCATGTAGACCTACCATTCTCCCATAGACCTACCATTCTCCCATAGACCTACCATTCTCCCATCTTGTAGACCTATCATTCTCCCATCATGTAGACCTACCATTCTCCCATAGACCTACCATTCTCCCATAGACCTACCATTCTCCCATAGACCTACCATTCTCCCATAGACCTACCATTCTCCCATCTCGTAGACCTACCATTCTCCCATCTCGTAGACCTACCAATTAAACCATATGCACTGGGTATGTGGGTGAGGGGGGGGGGAGGGCGTGTTACAGTATATTGACTATAGCGTAGTATAGCTTATTTCAAGTGGTGAGGGTGACAAAGTTACCTCACTATGTGTCATTCGACCTACTGATGCATTGCCGAGCAAGTTTCTTGTAGACCTACCATTCTCCCATAGACCTACCATTCTCCCATAGACCTACCATTCTCCCATAGATCTACCATTCTCCCATCATGTAGACCTACCATTCTCCCATCTTGTAGACCAACCATTCTCCCATAGACCTACCATTCTCCCATAGACCTACCATTCTCCCATAGACCTACCATTCTCCCATAGACCTACCATTATCCCATCATGTAGACCTACCATTCTCCCATCTTGTAGACCTACCATTCTCTCATCTTGTAGACCAACCATTCTCCCATAGACCTACCATTCTCCCATAGACCTACCATTCTCCCATCATGTAGACCTACCATTCTCCCGTCTTGTAGACCTACCATTTTCCCATAGACCTACCATTCTCCCATAGACCTACCATTCTCCCATAGACCTACCATTCTCCCATCATGTAGACCTACCATTCTCCCGTCTTGTAGACCAACCATTCTCCCATCTTGTAGACCTACCATTCTCCCATAGACCTACCATTCTCCCATAGACCTACCATTCTCCCATAGACCTACCATTCTCCCATCTTGTAGACCTACCATTCTCCCATCTTGTAGACCTACCATTCTCCCATAGACCTACCATTCTCCCATAGACCTACCATTCTCCCATAGACCTACCATTCTCCCATCTTGTAGACCTACCATTCTCCCATCTTGTAGACCTACCATTCTCCCATAGACATACCATTCTCCCATAGATCTACCATTCTCCCATCTTGTAGACCTACCATTCTACCATAGACCTACCATTCTCCCATAGACCTACCATTCTCCCATCATGTAGACCTACCATTCTCCCATAGACCTACCATTCTCCCATAGACCTACCATTCTCCCGTCTTGTAGACCTACCATTCTCCCATCATGTAGACCTACCATTCTCCCATCTTGTAGACCAACCATTCTCCCATAGACCTACCATTCTCCCATAGACCTACCATTCTCCCATAGACCTACCATTCTCCCATAGACCTACCATTCTCCCATAGACCTACCATTCTCCCATCATGTAGACCTACCATTCTCCCATAGACCTACCATTCTCCCATCATGTAGACCTACCATTCTCCCATCTTGTAGACCAACCATTCTCCCATCTTGTAGACCAACCATTCTCCCATAGACCTACCATTCTCCCATAGACCTACCATTCTCCCATAGACCTACCATTCTCCCATAGACCTACCATTCTCCCATCATGTAGACCTACCATTCTCCCATCTTGTAGACCAACCATTCTCCCATCTTGTAGACCAACCATTCTCCCATAGACCTACCATTCTCCCATCATGTAGACCTACCATTCTCCCATAGACCTACCATTCTCCCATCATGTAGACCTACCATTCTCCCATAGACCTACCATTCTCCCATAGACCTACCATTCTCCCATAGACCTACCATTCTCCCATAGACCTACCATTCTCCCATCTTGTAGACCTACCATTCTCCCATCTCGTAGACCTACCATTCTCCCATAGACCTACCATTCTCCCATCTTGTAGACCTACCATTCTCTCATCTTGTAGACCAACCATTCTTCCATAGACCTACCATTCTCCCATAGACCTACCATTCTCCCATCATGTAGACCTACCATTCTCCCATAGACCTACCATTCTCCCATCATGTAGACCTACCATTCTCCCATAGACCTACCATTCTCCCATAGACCTACCATTCTCCCATAGACCTACCATTCTCCCATCATGTAGACCTACCATTCTCCCATAGACCTACCATTCTCCCATAGACCTACCATTCTCCCATCTTGTAGACCTACCATTCTCCCATAGACCTACCATTCTCCCATAGACCTACCATTCTCCCATAGACCTACCATTCTCCCATCTTTTAGACCTATCATTCTCCCATCATGTAGACCTACCATTCTCCCATAGACCTACCATTCTCCCATAGACCTACCATTCTCCCATAGACCTACCATTCTCCCATAGACCTACCATTCTCCCATAGACCTACCATTCTCCCATCTCGTAGACCTACCATTCTCCCATCTCGTAGACCTACCATTCTCCCATCATGTAGACCTACCATTCTTCCATCATGTAGACCTACCATTCTCCCATAGACCTACCATTCTCCCATAGACCTACCACCCTCCCATCTAATAGACCTACCATTCTCCCATCTAATAGACCTATCCCAATGTGGATGATGAGAGCCTGAAGCTGATGGTTAGAAAATGGAACATGTCTGAGATCCCGGCTCTGAGGCAACAGATCCAGGCCGTGCCATACCCAGATCAGGTCGAGCTGACCTCTCTTATCATTGACCAGTTTGAGGGGCGGATTTTATCTTGTCAAGACAAGTTCTCTAAAGGTCAGAGGTTAACTTATTATCTAGAGTAATTTAGTTCTAGAATTACATAACCTCGTTACGTTAATTAGAATACCTCAGACAGCACTCAGTAATGCACCACACAGTTCGATTTGTAAAATTTCATATAAGTTTTTATTCTCTGTTATTAATTGTAATATTACAAAGGACTACCCCCAATGTAATTAACTATTAATCGTCAAGATGGTATGCGCCATTAGGCGTGTTGACTACCACTTCAGCCTGATTTTCTATTCTCATGTAGTTTAATTCTCTTATTTAAATAGCAATTAAAAATTATAGATTGTAGAAAGATGACACTAAAATAAATCGAATATTAAATAGCGAATGCCAATACAATAAGGCAGAAATCTGAATGTTAACTAATGAGATATGTTTCAGGACTGATACACGGAGATTTCAACGACTTCAACATTGTTGTAGATGGAACAGATTTACTGCTCTGTTCAGAAAACGCGATTACCTCCCCTGTTAGACCTAACACACAAGACACAACCAATATCATTGGAGTCATTGACTTCGGTGACGCCACTTTCTCTCTTTACATATTCGAAGTGGCCATAGCGATGACGTATGTGATGATCAACCAGCACGGCATTCCTCCACTGCAGGCCGCAGGTCAGGTGCTGGCAGGGTACCTGAGCAGGATGACCTTGACACAGGTGGAGCTTGACCACCTGAAGCTGTGCATCTGTTCCAGGTTTGTCCAGTCGCTGGTTATGGGCTACTTCTCCTTCTCACAAGACCCTGGGAACGACTACATTCTCACCCACGCTAAGAGAGTCTGGCCAATGTTAAAGTCTTTATGGGAAACTCCGGACTCTGATTTTCTTGCGCAGATCAAAAATAGTCATGAACATTTAAAATTTTGAATCTGGTTTCCTCATTTCAAATAAAATTTAACTTTGTTTTATACTTTTTTGTGTGTTCAAATTGAATTTTTAATGTGGGACGGCGTGGTCGATGGTAGAGCGCTTGACTGCTAGCGCGTAGGGATTGAGTTCGGATCTCGGTTCGGAATTGTGACTGTAGGACGCCCCTTAGTCCACTTAGCTCTGATGGGAACCAAACTTCCGTTAAGGACCACAACATTCATTCATATGCTAAGGCCAAAAAAAATGAACTCCATCGCTATGTCTATAGAGAAATCTTTTAAGTAAAAATTTATGTCATTTTTAAGACCTGGAGACTATCTTGCATCGCAATAAAAACACCATAGGCAATGTACGACATACGAGCTGACAAGCGACGCAGCATACGTCGCCACCTAATTGTTTTATTTTCTACTTATCAATAATTCATAATTTGTGAATTCGACACTACCCCACCCCTCTGCCATATATATATATATATATATATATATATATATATATATATATATATATATATATATATATATATATAACTGACAGCTGTGACAACGTTAACACAGGTCACTAAATGGAACTTCTCTAGTCATGAACTTTGTTCATCAGTAAGGTTTAATAAGTCAGTGTAACAATTAAGTCGAATAAATGTAGGGCCAATTAATGAAGTTTCATTAGTTTATCATTAAAGGTTTAATAAGTATAAAGATGATGTTTTATTGACGTAACCTTTAAATTCTAATCGGAAAACATTGAAGTTGATTAGTATCTTAATGACGTTTAATCAGTGTACACACAAAGTTTAATAAAATCAACATTATGTGTTACATAACATTTTACTTTGGTACCAGAGAATTTCGTACCCAGAGAACATCGGCTGTGTGGATTCATACATTTGAAGCTGTTACACATAGTTGATATCCTTTTAATTCTGCATGGACTTAATTAAACATCTATAGCGGCCCAGAAAAACGAGACCATATCCTCTGCCTTCTTTTTACAAACATAAAACTTACCCAACCATCTTATTTTTACCAAAATCTACACACCCAAATGTTTATTTATCAAAATCAATTTATATAGCTAAACTTAGCCAACCATCTTTATTTACCAAAATCAACAATCTCATCATCATCTTTCACTAAACTCAACACCATCTCTGTTTACACAAAGTAGAAGCAAATCCCGCCATCATTTTCCAAGATAAACAAAAAATATAATTTTTAAATTAATATCAACAAATCCAACTAAACATCAACATAACCATACGACCATCAATCAACACCAACACGCTGCAGTCGGTATCTAAAATTAGCTTTTACACATTTTCTATTAAATAAAGGGAATGAGAAGAGCTACCTCCCCTTGTTTCGTGTATACATCGATTCAGACTGTGACGATACATTAACATAGATAATAAACTGGGTTATAATTACAGGACACAAGTTTATCACTAGCCATCAAGTAACGAGTTTAAAACACCCGTGTGTTTGTGTATTAAAGTGCGGTAGGTTTTTGTACACAGTATTCATTTTCTGAGCTAGCTGGTCTGTACACAGTGTTGTTTATGACCCAGCTGGTCAGTACACAGTGTTGTTTCTGTCCCATCGGGTGTGTACACAGTGTTGTTTCTGTCCCATCGGGTGTGTACACAGTGTTGTTTATGTCCCAGCTGGTCTGTACACAGTGTTGATTCTACCCAGCTGGTCTGTACACAGTGTTTCTGTCCCATCTGGTCTGTACACAGTGTTGTTTCTGTCCCATCTGGTCTGTACACAGTGTTGTTTCTGTCCCATCTGGTCTGTACACAGTGTTGTTTCTGTCCCATCTGGTCTGTACACAGTGTTGTTTCTGTCCCATCTGGTCTGTACACAGTGTTGTTTCTACCCAGCTGGTCTGTACACAGTGTTGTTTCTGTCCCATCTGGGTAGAAACAACACTGTGTACAGAGAACATCGGTTGTGTGGATAAATACACAGTGTTTATGACCCAGCTGGTCTGTACAGTGATGTTTCTGACCCAACTTGTGTGTACACAGTGTTGTTTCTGAGCTAGCTGATCTGTACACCTTGTTGTTTATGACCTAGCTGGTCCCTACACAGTATTAATTGTATCTGACTTAGCGTGCCGGTAAGCTACAGCAGTGTTGATACAATGACCACAGCCTCGGCTAAACATGTCTGTGTTGTTGGTGCTGGTGTGTCTGGACTTGTAGCCATGAAAGAGTGCCTTAATGAAGGGTTCAAGGTCACATGCTACGAGCTGGACACGGACTTAGGTCAGTTTTATGTGTCTGTTCCTACATACACACATTTTCTCTTTTTAAGAAAATATATCCATATTTAGGACAATATGCTATTAAAAATGCAAAGCTATTTTCTAACATTATTAGCTTATAATTTACCAAAACCATTTATTAGAATGTGTGTATTACTTAAATTTTGTCGTTCTTATTAGTACATGTAGTAATTTAAGCTTTTATTTAGGTGGCATCTGGCGTGAGAAAAGAAACGTTAAACACCCAAACACCCCTCAAATATGGGAGAATCTCATAACCAACACTAGTAAATACATGATGACGTATAGTGACTTCCCTCCCTTAGCTGAAGACACACCGTTCTTTAAAGGTCAGGTAAGTGTTTGATCTAGCTATAAAATTATATATTGAATGCATAATCGAACCTTATGAATTTACCATTGGATTAAATCTTTAATTCATGATCAATTTTTTTGTTACAGCTATTGAACTCAATTTAAACTTTAATAGTTAACTAGTAGTTAAAAGAGACAGATGATACTTATTTAATTAGTATTCTTGAATTAAACTCTATAAAGGCCTACATGTTTTAGAGAAAAGCCTACAATAAATAAGCTTTCAATTTTTTTTTATTTCTAGGATGTGTATGAGTACTACAAGAGATACGCCAAAGCCAATGGAATTCTACCTTGCATTCAGTTTAACACAAGAGTCATCAAAGTAATAATTTAATGTTTGATAATTATGAAATGTTTTTATAAATTATCGTTTTTATACAAACAAAATCCAACCGCTAGAAGTGAACTAGTTGAGGTTGTTTTTGTTGGTAATATTATTTTTAGATCCGCAAGACACGTGACCACGAGAAAACTGGCCAATGGGAGGTTTTTTCATGTCCTGCTAGCTTGTTTAGTTCTGATGACGTCGGTAGTAAAGACAAATCTAAAGACATAGATCTGGACAAGTGCCAGAAACTTGTCGCTGATTTTGTTCTAATATGCAGTGGATTATTTAAGTAAGATATTAGGGACAGTCGGGATTTTAAAAATGCAGTTAATTTGAATATCTTAATGAAGTTACTTGTTTAATGTTCCTTTTCAAACCTGACGGTCTATAGGGCAAGTAAAGAAGAGTTCACTTGTTTCTGCGACTTCGGCGTATGAAGAGGTAGTGTGGTCAGCACTATGCCCAGCCGCCTTTACTTTCCCTAACGTAAGTTAGGTACCCATCAAAGTTGAGTGGACTCAGGGACGGTCTACTGACTTGAACCCGGATTTGAACTCGAGACTTACGGGTCTCTACCCCTAGACCACTCCGTCCCCAACTTGTTTAATACCGCCAACAAAAATTAAAATAGACAAGATGACTTTTTCATAACAAATATTTTATACAATAAGAATATATTGCATAATACGTCTCACTTGTAGGTCTCCAAAATATCCATCAATCCCCGGTCTAGAGACGTTTACAGGAACTGTTCAACATTCTTTCCACTACACAGACAGCTGCCAATACAGGAATAAAACTGTTCTTGTTGTTGGTGAGACGAGTGGTTACATTTCTTATTGGTTAAAAATGTTGGTTAAAAATATTGGTTACAAATGTTACTTTTGTTATTGGGGAGATGACGTCTAGTATGATGAAGTTTTTCATAATAATAAAAGTCATAAAGAACTCAATAACTAAATAATAGCAACATTAACCATAACGTCTGCTTGTTAACCGAAAAAAAATTAATTAGAAGTAATTAGCTTAGAACCACCATCTGTATCAGTTAATTGGATACAAATGGCGAAAGGATTAATGATATTCCATGTCGAATGCAGTAATCAACGAACACTTGTTTCACATGCGCATGGTTTATGTTAATTACGGCTAAATGCAAAGGTTATCATTAGTGTTAAGGCAAAGATCGCTATAAGCTTATCAGTTAATGACGAATAGTATTGTAAACTCATGGCAAAACTTATTGTTAAAACGTTAAACTAAATGTAATCTAATATATATTATTCTTAATTTAATTTCGGATAATAACAAATGTTGTTTAGTCAACGTTACAGGAAAAAAAAACCTGTTATATTTTATCAAAATGCAGGAAACGGCAACTCAGCTGGCGATATTAGCTGTGATATCGGTACACAAGCCAAGCAGGTCAGACAAACTCGCAAAATGTTCCTTTAACTATTTAAGTTTGCTGGTTTTCTGACTGTGTAGCCCCTAGCTATTTATCTGTAATGTGATTCCTAGCCATTTGTCTATAATGTAGGCCCTAGCAGTGGCGTAGCGAGGTCGGGTGTCACCCGGTGCGGCACTTAATGGTGTCACCCCCCAGAGGCGTAGCGACACTTTCCGGGGACAAACTTTCAAATTTTCGATTTGCACCCACCCTCAAGTTTTTCTCTATATATTTTGCTATTTTTTGCCTTGGTGTCACCCCCCTAAATGGTGTCACCCGGTGCGTTCCGCCCCCCCCGCCCCCCCCCCCCCTCGCTACGCCCCTGGGCCCTAGTATTGTCTGTAGCCTATGATCTTCTGTCTATAATACAGCTCCTATTCTTGCTGTCTGTGATGTAGCCCCTGGTGTTTTTCTGTGGTGTTACCCCTGAGTCTATTGGCCTTCTTTTGGTGTAGCCTCAATCTTTTGTCTGTTGTGTAGCCTGTGGTCATATTTCTGTGAACTAACCTCTGGTCATTTGCCTGTGAACTAGCCCCTAGTCTTGTAATTGTGGTGTTCCCCTGATCATTTCTTCAGCTTTAAAGCCCTCTTGCGGACTCTACAGGTACACTTGAGCCTGGGGGATGGGGCCTGGATTGCACCTCGAATTTTCTCCCGTGGTAGACCAGTGGACAATTTTCTGACCAGAAGGGACTTTTTCTGTCCCATCTTTCGTCGTAACTTGAACCAACTCATCGTGCAAGAAGCGAAGGACAGGATAGATCACATGACCAGTGGAATTTGTCCCAACCAACCTCCAAGAAACTCTTATGTGATTCTAGGAGACTTCATCTATGTACGGTCAAACTGTATCAAGTGCATAACGTTATTTAGCAGCTTGCATTTCTAAAAATTTAACAAAACTTTAAATTATAATGGTCTTATTATAGATGAATAGCTAGAAATATTCACATTTCTAAAGAGGACCTATCTATCAATTCAAAAAAATTCAGACTGCCTTGATGTCGGGTCAAATAAAAACGTACGGCCATCTTGCAAGAATCGATGGGTGCGATGCTGTTTTCCGGGACGGGACACGAGTGACGGGCCTTGATGCGATTGTTCTATGCACTGGATTTTCACAAGATTTCTCTTTTCTTGACCAGGAAGGAATTCAAGGTAAATGAAAGAACTGGAAGAGTGTCTGAACTACGCGCTGAAATAGTTGAATTAAAAATAATCATCTGATTCTGAACATATTCAAACTGAATTGAAGTATAAAGAAACCGAATATTGCGTATATATGTTGAACTTTACACGAGAAGGTAAATAATATATACTTTATGTGGCACAAAATAAACACATTTATTAAAAACGAATTGAAAATAGGCAATAATTCTGAATTAAGGGCTGTTTTTTGCATTTTATTATAAATTAGAAATATAAGTGTCTCTTCTGGACAGCATTTACAGCATTTGTGTCTTACATTTTGTCCAACCGTGTCTTAGTTTGTGTCTCACATTTTATACATTTGTCTTTCTTTAGTTTAATCATGCAGGTCATTTTTTGTTTAGTTTGTTTATACATTATATCTCTAATCGAATCTTACCATCGAAGGTTCGTTAAAAGCTGAAGTGATTAAGTTTAGTTTAACTTGTTGTTTTTTTAACATATATTTTCAACGCACTTAACAGGTCTTGATGACTTGCGGTTGTTTAAGATGATATTTCCTGTGGAAGAGTTACACCATACCCTAGGCTTTATAGGGACATTCAGTGGCGCTGGGCCCATTGCTCCAATGTGTGAGTTGCAGGTAGGTTAGGTGGACCTACAGCTCCAATGTGTGTTCCAGGTAGGTTAAGGTGGACCTACATCTCCAATGTGTGAGTTGTAGGTAGGTTAAGGTGGACCTACAGCTCCAATGTGTGAGTTGCAGGTAGGTTAAGGTGGACCTACAGCTCCAATGTGTGAGTTGTAGGTAGGTTAGGTGGACCTACAGCTCCAATGTGTGAGTTGCAGGTAGGTTAAGGTGGACCTACAGCTCCAATGTGTGAGTTGCAGGTAGGTTAAGGTGGACCTACAGCTCCAATGTGTGAGTAGCAGGTAGGTTAAGGTGGACCTAGAGTTCCAATGTTGCAGGTAGGTTAAGGTGGACCTACATCTCCAATGTGTGAGTTGCAGGTAGGTTAAGGTGGACCTAGAGCTCCAATGTATGAGTAGCAGGTAGGTTAAGGTGGACCTACAGCTCCAATGTGTGAGTTGTAGATAGGTTAAGGTGGACCTACAGCTCCAGTGTGTGAGTTGCAGGTAGGATAAGGTGGACCTACAGCTCCAATGTTGATGGTAGGTTATGCTGGAGCTATATCTGGGCCTACATGTCCTATGTATGTGATGCTGGTAGGTGTAGCTAGACGTACTTGATGTTATTGACTTGTTTAGAAATGTATAAAATTGTTACATCCATTTAGTGGAAAAAATAATACTTATATTTTAACAGAGTCGCTACAGTGCTAAAATATTTGCTGGAAAACTTAGATTGCCTTCTGTTGACGTCATGAAAGCCGATGTCCAATATTGGATAAACTCGTGTACTCGTAATCCAAAGATATATTACAGATATGTGAGTACCTGACAGCTGTACTGTCATACAAATTATCTGCACATAAAATACATTTTTAAAAGACGACTAATGAATTACCCACCTTCCACCCCATACACATTATCTGCACATAAAATACATTTTTAAAAGACGACTAATGAATTACCCACCTTCCACCCCATACACATTATCTGCACATAAAATACATTTTTAAAAGACAACTAATGAATTACCCCCCCCCCCCCCCCCACCCACGCACACACTTTTTCCAGTTAAATATATTTTTGGATATCTTCACCCTCTGTTAACGACACACTGAATATTAGACACTTCACATACGTTTAAAAAGAGATTGACTTTTATACGTTGGAACATACGGAATCAAACAACTGTCTGTTATTTTATTAACTATCATTACCTGAAACTATTGAATAACTTTTATTGCAGCTTCCTTTATTAATGTTCCAAGACACAATAGCCAAGCTTCTGGGTGTATTCCCTGGTTTATGGAGACTGCTTATCGTTGACCCAGTTCTGGCCTACAGATGCTGGTATGGTCCTATGTTCTCAGCACAGTATCGTCTGCTTGGACCAGACAGCAACTGGAAGCAAGCACGTGACATCTGTAACACGGCTTACACTGAGGGTTGTCTCTCTTTGCGACACAGTAAACAACCAAGGGAGGGAATCGAGAAATCAAAAGGAAATAGCATGAGATGTATTCTAGTTGCTTGTGGACTGTCAGCATTAGCTTTTGGCATATACTTTAAATGTTTCTTTAAATGAGTATTATATAAAATTATAGAAAATAACAGATTCGATTGTTTTTTGTTTTTTAAACTTGACCTTTCTATGCAGTATATTGTTTTAGATTTGAGCATAACAGCTCTGCTTATATAGTTTATAATACGGTTTTTTGTTATTATGTTAGTAACATTTTGTTCTTCAATTTAATCTCTAATATTTAAAATTATTACCATTTTAATATATTTAAAAGTCTATTCTGTCCAGCAGAAGTAATTCACGAAACTACATTAACAAAATGTGTTTTTAAGTTATTAAACCATTCCAAAATGTATCTGCCAGCTTTCTTAATCTTTCTGGTTTGCTTCTGTTTTTGAATCTATTTAACAGAAACTGCGTTTATTTTCTATTAAAAATAGTTATGGTTTCTGGGAAATATTTTGTGACTAAAACAAATGGTGCTAGTACAGCAGTCTGAACTTATTTACTAAACATTACTCGTTGAGTCACGGAAATGTATTTATCATTTTAAAAGTCAAATGCAAATGTGTGCATGTAGAGCAGTGCTGATTACGAGATAAGCTAACCAAAATGTGGGAACATTCTGCTGCATTTAAAGCTAACAGGTCACACCTACAGAATTACGTAACACACCTAAACACATTACAACTGGGTCACAGGAATGTTTAACCTTGTTGTACTTAAATTACGTAAGGGAGGAAATTGCGTCCACTTATAGCTGTATCCTGTACAACTGATTCCTTTTACAAGGTAAAGTAAACGGTAGTTTAAACTAATCATTTTTGGCCTAGTAATTATGGATCATTATGAAATTATAGTAATTAAGTTAATTTTCCTTCCAATGATAAAGCAACTATGATTCATGCAGTTTATTTTATTGTTCAATTGCATGTATTGAGTGCATTCTAGCATGCGAGCTAGCCAGAGTTCATTTGTAGTCATAAAGATATTTCTCTGTGGAGCTGCGCGGGGAAAATGGTATCAGAGAAACATGTCTGTGTTGTTGGTGCAGGAATGTCTGGAATTGTAGCCATTAAAGAGTGTCTTAATGAAGGGTTCAAGGTCACATGCTACGAGCTGGATTTAGATATAGGTCAGTTATTTGTTTTTAATTTCTCTTATATTTTTTTTCGAATTGGAATTAATTTTCTCAATTTTATATCGATACATCTAGTTTTTCTTAATTCATTAGCCGGTTTTACAATTATTTCAGACAATAAACCACTAGCATAAGCTTTAACTTAAAAGAACCAATATTTTTATACCACAAATTATAAATTTCAATAAAGTATTCTAGCAAGAAATAAACGCCGTGGTAGGGTGATATAGCTTACGACAGCTAACCCGAAATAAATTTTTAACGAAAAATGTGTTTGATTTATTGTGAAGAATTTTAATATTTGTTAAGATACAGAGAGTGAGGGGGTTGGTCTGGTTATGTGCTGGGATGCGTAATGGTGGAGGGTTAAAATTGGCGGACGACCTCTTGGTGAGAAAAATCTACATCTAAAAGTAATGTGTAGAGGGGATGGAATCAGGCGTTGTTACTAAAATAGCAATATAAACATAAAGTAATATTTCAACGCAAAGGCTGGACTTTTTTTACACTAAATTGATTAAACCTGGAACAACATTATAAGGGGAAAACATTCTGATAAACTTTGCTTTTGATTTATATATCATTTTTTAAAAGGATACGTGTAAATAGCTGCATCAATGCTTTTTGTTTTTACATTTTACTTGCTAAGGTGGCATCTGGCATGAAAAACGGAACGTTAAACACCCAAACACCCCTCAAACATGGGATAATCTCAGAACCAACACTAGTAAATACATGATGACGTTTAGCGACTTCCCTCCTTTAGCGGAAGACACGCCATATTTTACCACTCAAGTATGTGCAAAATGACGTTTTACTTTTTGTAAAATAATAGTGGGGTAATTAAATTGGAAGATCTAGAATTGAAAGAGTTTACCTAGTAAATATTTTTTCTTTTGAAAATAATCTTATCAATGAGATAACACTTATATATGTCCCATATTCACAGGCCATTCATGACTACTACAAGAGATACGCCAAGGCACATAACCTTTTACAGTGTATTCAGTTTGATACAAGAGTAGTGAAGGTACTTTTTATAGCTAAGTTCTTACGCATGAAACACAATTTCTATAGCTACTAAACTGTACAAAGGGATATATATTTAAAAAGAATAAAAGGTGTATTTTAAAATTAGGCTCAATAGTCTAAACATTAAAATAAAAAATTCAGATCCGCAAGACAAGTGACCACGAGAAAACTGGCCAATGGGAGGTGTTTTCATGTCCTGCAAGTGGGTGTAGTCCTGATGACGTCAGTACTGAAAACAAATCTAAAGACATTGATCTGGACAAATGCAAGAAAAGTGTCTTTGATTTTGTTCTCGTTTGTACTGGCTTTTTCAAGTAAGCTTTTATTATATGCACAATACAGTTATAAAGCAGTATTTATATCACGGTGGACTTAAAATATAACTAGGCTTATGATTCTTATATTTCATTAATCGATGTTATTTTGATTTTAAATATGAACACAATATTTTATAATATAAATATTGAAATACAAGTAGACTAATGTCTATTAGGGTCTAGAAAAAAATACTCATCATTAGAGTGAACTTGTTATTATATTATTAAACAATCTGATACTTTTCCAACGGTGTACATTACTAAAGCCTCATTAGGTGAAACGTACTATAGCCTGTTGTCCAGATACAACAAAGAATTTTTCCCCAGATCTCCAGTGTACCCATCCATCCCTGGCCTCGAAACTTTTACAGGAACTGTCCAACATTCTTTCGACTACACAAGCAGCTCTCAGTATAAGAATAAAACTGTTCTGGTTGTTGGTAAGACGTGTGTACTTTTATATTTTGTCAAATAAATTACACATATGATATACGCAACAAAGAAAATTTCTTGCTGATGTTTTAGAACAAAGTATTCGCCGGAATAAAAATGAGAACGTTCAGTATTCAAGGTGGAAATCCACGGGGGCTGATAAAGTTCACCTGTTTTTGCCTTTACCTTTCCTAACGTGAGATAGGTACTCATCAATGCTGTAATTTACTTTTATCCTCAACGGTTATAAACATCTTCTTTATTCTTGTCCTTTTTAATAATGTTATAATTTATCGTGTACCAAAATCGTTTAGAGTTTATATAGTCATAATAATTGCTAAAAACTGTTTTCTTACGAAAACATTTTATTATAAATGTGTTTATTTACAAGCTTGCTTATCAGCTACCAGTCGTTTGAAATAAATATCAAATAGACCGACGAAATTATTCGTACCCCTCTCAAAGGAATCACATATTTGAAAACACTTTTAACTATTGTTTTAACTATAATTGCAGGTAATTCCTTCTCTGCTGGTGATATCAGCTATGATATCTCCACTCAAGCTAAACAGGTGCATTTTTTGTTACATTACTGATTTGAGTGTATATTACTAATAGATCGAAACATGACGTAACTGTAAATCACGATTAAAGACCTACATGTTAACAGGTTCACCTAATGTTACGACAAGGTACATGGATTGTGCCCAGGATACTATCAGGTGGGCGGCCTTTCGATAACTGCAAAAGACGATGCGACATGTATTCACGAAACCCTGAGAAAATCATCAACAGAATCTTAATACACGAGGCTCAAGATAAGATAGACCACGTGACTAGTGGAATTTGCCCAGACCAGCCTCCATCAGTTTCTGCATGGATGATTGGTGATGGCATTTATGTTAGACTTATTTCTTTATTATTCTTTTGGTGTTTGTATGCATGTTAGGTTTGATACTTTTTATTGTTTTAGCGTGAATATATGTGTGTTTTTTGTGATTTTATAGTAGTTTTATTTTTATTTTTAAATGATGTTCAGGAATTTCTTTCTTAGTTTTTGTGTATTAGCTTTTTTTTTGCGGGTGATTTTATAGCATTTTTATTTAGAATAATTAAGGATTATAAGGATAATTACCATTGTTGATTTTAACTGTACAAAATGTAACTCAGTTACATTACATTCTTTATAAATCACTTGATATTTTAGTGTCCGTTCTCAAAAGGAAAGCTGAAAACTTGAATAGTAACATTATTATTTACAATAATCATGTAACTTTAATGTTAAGTTTATTGTAGTCAAATATCTTCATTAAACAGACTGCCTTGATGTCGGGTCAAATAAAAACTTACGGTCATCTTGCAAGAATCGATGGGTGCGATGCTGTTTTCCAGGACGGGACACGAGTGACGGGCCTTGATGCGATTGTTCTTTGCACTGGTTACGAGCCTGATTATCCTTTCTTTGATCAGGGCATCATTCAAGGTGAAAATTGCTGTGACCAAATTAACTTCAGTTGTTAGGTTTTTTCGCATTAATGGACTACATTTTTCTGAAATAATCAAATGAAGGCTATAATATACTTTTTATATATTACTTTTGTATTAAAACATTTTGTTTTGACTAAAAAGTCATGTATAAATGATAATACAATAATAAGACAAGGTGAAAAGAAATTGTGTAAAAATATTGTGATTGAAAATAAATGAAGTTTTTATTTTATTTTTGTTTTGTCTAGAATTTGATAAAATGGGGCTTTTTAAAATGGTGTTCCCAATTGTTGAAGAGAAACACACTCTAGGTTTTATCGGAGCCTTTGCTGGAGTAGGTGCAATCGCTCCAGTGTGCGAGTTGCAGGTGAGTACAACGTTTTATTAAGCAATGGTTAGTAATTAGGTTACATAGCACTTGACTTAACGTATAAGCCTAGACTAGAAGGTGATTTGCTATTTTGTTAGGTTAGCACTTGACTTTATGTACAAGCCTAGATAATAATGCATCTTGTCCATTTGATAGAATAATATTTACTTTACATACAAGTCTAAATTAGAAGGGAACTTATCCCTTAAACTAGTAAGCACTTAAAAACATAAAAGCATAGAATAGAAGATATTTGAGAACCATTGAATCTTTGCCTCTCACAGAGCCGGTATAGTGCTAAAATATTTGCGGGAAAACTAACGCTTCCTCCTGTTGATGTCATGAGGGCCGATGTCCAATTCTGGACATTCGTGTGTAGTCGTAATCGAAACAGGAAATACTATTATTATGTGAGTATATAAGTTGTGCTGTATTTTTCCGGAATTATTTAAAAATAATTTTGTTTTTTAATAGTTTAAAAGTTTGACAACTGTCACCGCTTTTGTTGTAGCTGCCATGTTTTGAGTTCCAAGACACAATAGCCAAGCTTCTGGGTGTATTCCCTGGTTTCTGGAGACTGCTCATCCTTGACCCAGTTCTGGCCTACAGATGCTGGTATGGTCCTATGTTCTCAGCACAGTATCGTCTGCTTGGACCAGACAGCAACTGGAAGCAAGCACGTGCCATCTGTAACACAGCTTACACTGAGGGTTGTCTCTCTTTGAGACACAGTAAACTACCAAGGGATGGAATAACAAGTCCCAAGGGAAATTAAAATGTTTCACTTTTGTAGTTAGTCAGTGTTCAACTCTGAATTGATTGTTTTCTACATATAGTATTTCATTGCAACTGGCGTAACTTAACCTTCCTCCACCCCCCCCCCCCCCACAAACACAAATGTTTTTAAAATTCCTTTTTTTGACCTTGATACACATATATGTAATGAGTTCGTTTTTTTTCGTGAGCTCGATTGTAATGTTATATGTTTTGTACCTTGCTATTTTACAAATTGGTTTTAATTTGATTAGTTATTATTTATCTAATTATTATCCCGATGGTTGGGGGAGAGGGGGAGAGGGGGGGAGTTGCCTTCTGTTTGCGGACGGATCAAAACAACACTTTTAGATCAACCAAATCAGAAAGTCTGTAGTAAATAAATACATAAACCTAGCTCTCAATCTGCTTCCTATCGAGTAACATTTTCATACATTTATTTCAATAAAGCTTATTCCATATGTATGTCTAGTTTTTTAATTTTTTTCTATTCACAAAAACAATCTTAAATACTTATTCTTAAACACACCAATGACCTAACGACTAAATAAACAGACATTTAAGAGTAAACTAAAAAAGTAAAGTAGTTTTATAGATTCTGAAATTACTATATGAAATTATTTTGGAAACTTAAATAACTGAATCAATCAAATGGGTATTTACAAAACATTTTTCTTTAAATGGATCTTCTAGTTTTTTTTCCCTAGTATTTAACAATTATAAGTTAGGTTATCTAAATACATGTCTATTGGGTGTTCTTCTACAGAATACAAGATTTTAAAAATTATTAGAAGCCAAAGCATACTAACCGTTTAAAAAAACACTGTTTAACTATTTTTTTGTACTTCAACTAGCCATATCGAATGTAACCAAATATAAGTACTATTTACAAACTATAAATACGATAAATGTGACAAAAAATAAAATAACGTTTATTATTTTCCAAGTTTTTTTGTGTCGTTGTTTGAAGGTTAGTGAATAACTACCCAAAATTAGTTCTAACATGAAAAACAAATGAATATAACATATCAGAAAAGTACTTGCGCACTGCTTGTTTAACTACACTATCATGAACTGTTGAGCAGTAGTGTAGGGGTTGGGGAGGCAGTGCATTAAAGACAATGACTTCTAGGTTGATGCTATTTTCACGTTTACATCAACATCACTGCAGCTTAAAGGATAGCTTTGAATGCCTGTGTATAACTTAAAAACAAAAATACACCAAAACAAAAGGAAACTCAAAGAGAAACTACAAAGTCAACAAGCACGATATATTAATGTTTGTAAAAAGTAAAAAAAAAATAGAAGAATTCCGGAGACACCTTGTACAAAAAAAAGAGGTAAACGTTTTGTAAATAATTGATAACGGTTTATTTTAGGTTAATGTATGTAATGTTATAGTTCATCCTTACTCAACACATCAATGCATAACGTTTATTAATTTTAAAGATCGTGCTATATTATTATTCTAAATAATTATTTGCTTCAAATCTAGACGATTGTGTTATAATATATAAAATAAATTGTTTGTTTCAAGTTTAGAAAATTACGTTAAATTATAAATAAGGTTTTTATTTTTTTAAAAGCTACCATATATCTAAATAATTACTTTTAGTGTCTAATTTAGAAGATTATGTTATATTCTATAAAAATATTTTCTAATTTATATGTGTGTTTAAAAAATAACTTGTTTGTTTCATCGTGTAACAAATCGCAATAAACCTCGTCAAAACAAAATGTTTCTATTGTTGTACGCTAACGGCAAAAATACTTAAATAAAATACAAGGATATTCCACTCGCCTACCACCCATATTTTGCGTTGTATGGTAAAACACAACAGGAAAAATAATGTAAAAGATATTGTTGACAAACTCGGCCTCAAAAACACATCTATTCATGGACCATCAGAAGTCACGCGTGAAAGCACAAGTGCTTGAACGTTTTGTCTACACTCCATTGGCTCGACTGTGGACTGACACTTGTTGTGACCCACACGATTGGAACGTAAAAACTGCAAGTATTTGTGGGTAATCTTTAGCAACGGCTGAACTTATCATATATATAAAGCAATTTTACGAGGCATATTTAGTTATAAACAATAAATGTCACAATGTAACTTTCAAAACTATAGCTTACTATCTTTACAGTGTTGCAATATAGCTATATCTAACTATCTAGACATTTAATTTGCTTTGAAAAAGAATAATTATTAGCATTCTCTGCTACAGGTTCCTCTTGCAGGGAGAAATGACCACAGCCTCAGCTAAACATGTCTGTATTGTTGGTGCTGGAATGTCTGGACTTGTAGCCATTAAAGAATGTCTTAATGAAGGGTTCAATGTCACATGCTATGAACTGGACTCGGACGTAGGTCAGTTGCTATTTTTTTGCCTTCTTTTATGTACTTCGTTTCATTGTTTGCTTCTAGATTAAAAAGACACGTTCCTTTAACTCGTCGTCATCATCTTTTCCCGTTTGTGCCCTAGACACACGGGGCGGATGAAGTAGAATAATCTGTTTCTCGTCATACAAATGGATAATATGGTCAGCACTTTCCCTGCAGCCTTTTGTCCACTAACTTGAGTCAGGTACCAATCAAAGCTGGGTGGACTCGGAGATATTCTATTGTCTTTAACCAGTATTCGAACTTAAGAGTTTCGGGGTAGTAGTCTAGTGCTTTACCACAATGTCTTCAGTTTGGAGTATCATCAATGTTGAACAAACTATCGGTGTAGTAGTGTTTATTGGATGTACTGTTTAAGATGGTGTGGATGATATCGCACCATGAGTTGATAAAACTAGACAGCATACAGCTCTAATAAATTTTTTTCTGAAATCTGTTCAACGTCTCATCTACGATAAAGAAGGTAATGACATGATTGGAAGATTTAGAGCTGCTATATATGTTTCTGGTTCTTTATAAATAGTTTGGTAACCTAATCCGCGAAAGCATAACATTAATTTGTTAATTTCGTAGTGCCATTATGGCAGTTTTTGCGGATAACATATGTTGTTTGTATATTATTTAGACCATTTATGTTCCATGTACAGGTGGTATCTGGTGTGAGAAACGAAACGTTAAACACCCAAACACCCCACAAATATGGGAGAATCTCATAACCAACGCCAGTAAATATTTTACAACTTTCAGCGACTATCCACCCTTACCAGAAGACACTCCTTTTCTTCGCGGTCATGTAGGTGTTGATTTGTAGTTTACTTGCTGATGTTTTATTTTATTTTGGAATTAATATAATAAAGATTTTAGGGTTTTTCTCCATTAAATATACATGTTTCATTACTAAACGAAACTAAGCCTCCATTTTATCCTTAGGATATGCATGCTTACTATAAAAGATATGCAAAGGACAATCAGTTGTTGCCTTGTATTCAATTCAATACCCAAGTCGTGAAGGTATGTTATTAATTGTAAAACTATTTCTCGAAATGTTTACATGAAAATATTCAGCATTTAAAGAATTTTACCAATTTCATAAATACATGTATATAGATTTGCAAAACACGTGACCACAAGAAAACTGGCCAATGGGAGGTCTTTTCACGTCCTACTAGCCGGTGTTGTTCTGATGACGTCTGTGCTGAAAGTAAATCTAAAATCATAGATTTGCAAAAATACAAACAACGGATGTTTGATTTCGTACTAATTTGTAATGGATTTTTTAAGTAAGTTTACTTAGTTTAATAATAAACATTTTTAATGATAAATTCTAGCTTTTCTTGTAAAAAAACAGCAATAAAAATGTCAGATTTAAATAAATCAAATAAAATGAAATAAAAAGATGAAATATAAACTAAAAACACCCCCTTTCAGAATTTAAAAAAATCGAAAAGTTAAAATTTAAACATTGAATAGTATTCTTTAGTTTAAAAAAGCTGCTACTTTATACAAGCAAACCTATGTTTTATTTTAGAATTCCAGTGTACCCATCCATCCCAGGTCTGGAAACGTTTGCAGGGACTGTTCAACATTCTTTTCACTACACAGACGGCTCTCAATTCAAGAACAAAAATGTTCTTGTTGTAGGTGAGACGTTTTCTTTAAACATATTTTACAACACATAAAATACTATTCATGCTACACAATTTAAAAAATGAAAATATGTATAAAATAATGTTTAAAAAACGTTAATGTTAATACTTTTATTTTCAATAATTGAGTGCAACTTTTGATTTGGACTTACCATCAGATTCACTTTCATTATCCCAGTCCCTATGAATCAGCACCAATCTTTCCGTTTGTAATTTATACCTTTTTTATCCTTCTGTTTATGGTTGTCTTTTGGCTCTATGTTTCCAAATGTCAAGTCATATATCATACTAATTTTATTTTTAGTAAATAACTATGTTTCTTGCTAGTGTGTATGACATCGTTGTTTTGAATATATTTAACACAATGTTTTATTTAACGCGCCTCGACAATTGTTCACCTCAATTCATTTAACTAAATAACAAAAAATCAATGGCAGAAAAAACAATTGTCCAATACATCGTTTTTGTCGTATACTTTAAAGTATGAAAACTAAGTCATTATTTTATTCTTAAAATGTTTTTCAGGCAATTCATTTTCAGCTGGAGACATCAGCTTTGATATTTCTACTCAAGCAAAACAGGTCAGTGACATAGTTTCAAAAATGACTGTCTTTAAATCAAGCTCTTGTGCTAATTAAAGATGTACCAGATTAACTTACTTGAATAATTGATATAATTAGCAAAGTAAAAAAAAAGATTGAACCTAGTGCTATTCGATTTCGCATATTAGTATTCGCAAATTACTATCCTATTAACAGGTGCACCTATCACTGCGTCAGGGTACCTGGATAGTACCTCGAATACTCTCAGGTGGTCGACCATTGGATATCTGCAAGAGACGATGCGACATTTACTCATGGAATCCTGAGAAAATCATCAACAAAATCTTAATCTCTGAGGCACAAAATAAGATAGACCATGTGACTAGTGGTATCTGCCCAGACCAGCCTCCATCTCTTTCTTCATGGATGGTTGGCGATGCTATTTATGTTAGAACTTTTTCTCTCTAAAACTCTGACTTTCGGTTGTCTTGTTTGTTTCTTGTTTTTTTGTAAATATTTGTCTTAGCGTGTATGCGTTTTGTTTATATATTTATTTGAGATTGTTTCTTTCTTAGAATCGGTGTTGTTTTGTTAGTGTGTTGCTTATGAATTATTATTTTAATAAAATAATTCATAATGCTCTGTAGTGAGATGTGTACAACCATAAAACAGACACAAGATTTTGATTTTGTGATTTTAAAATTTTACACAAGAAACATTTTTTTATATGCACAGACATGTATTTTACTGGTGAATACAGCTTATTGAGATTAACTGAGAAAAAAAATTACTTTAGTTATATTTTGCTCAACAAAGATCTTTATCAAGAGATCTATGTGTAACGTTTAATTGATTAGGCTTGTGGTAAACTGCGTTGTTTAACTAGCCTGTCTTGAAATCAAGTCAAATGAAGACGATGTGAATGCAGCAAGGCTGTATGTTTTCAAAATACTAAGACACTAAGTTAAAAGTGGCTCATCATGAAATTTGGTAAAAAGCTGTGGAATTTTTTTGATATCAATAAAATCAAATAGGTCATCACAGTAAGTGATTTTTCAGACTGCCTTGATGTCGGGTCAAATAAAAACTTACGGTCATCTTACAAGAATCGATGGTTGCGATGCTGTTTTCCAGGACGGGACACGAGTGACGGGCCTTGATGCGATTGTTCTATGCACTGGTTATGAGCCGGAGTATTCTTTCCTAGATCAGGATTTGCTACAAGGTAACGAGTTTTCTAATTCATTATCTTAAAAAGTTAGGTGTATCCAAAATGCATTGTCTTTAGTAACATTTTCTTTTATCTTAAACATATATTCTAGAATTTGGTGTCTTGTATTTTAATTTTTATAATTTCAATCTAATCGAGCAGAATTTGACCACTCGGGGCTTTATAAAATGGTGTTTCCGATTGATGAAGAGAAACACACATTGGGATTTATCGGAGCTTTTGGAGGTTTATCCTCGATCGTACCCATGAGTGAGTTGCAGGTGAGTGTTAGTTTAATTAGAATGGTAGTGTAACACGAATTGACATGCACATGCGCGTATTTAATACAACTCCTCACTTTAACTCAAGATAAATATATATGTTGCTACAATATAAGTCTCACTTTCTAAACCTAATCACCTTTTACATCCAGCGGAGTAGTTAATTTATCTTATTTCTTTATTCAATAACGGTAACAACAGCAGACACAGAGGCCTTTTTTTCACATTGGCCGTTATATTATAAATATAATAACATTTTAATTTTTAAAAAAAGAAATCGAGTATTTAAGAAATAACAGTAACATAGCATTTAAAAAATTGTAATTAAAGATATAATATTACATAGTTATTATACACAGAGAGATAGAATGTTAAGAAATGTTGCAGTCGAGAATTGTTGTTTTAGTTAATAAATTGTTCTGTGTTACAATGGATTCGGTATATGAGACGTCAATAAAAGGTTTGAATTATTGGCACAAATGTGATCGTTCACAGAGCCGGTACAGTGCTAAAATATTTGCGGGTAAGCTAAGTCTTCCTCCTGTCGACGTCATGAAAGCCGATGTCCAGTTTTGGATGAAGTTGTGTACTCGAAATCGAAACAGAAAATATTATAATTATGTGAGTATGTTTGATCACATAATAAACAGATATATAATCATTAACTAACAGATGCAACAATTGCGTTTTGAAAAATTAAACCTTAATGATTTTCTGGAGTTTGTTTTTAATTTTAGCTGCCCTGTCTAGAATACCAAGACACAATAGCCAAGCTTCTGGGTGTATTCCCTGGTTTCTGGAGACTGCTCATCGTTGACCCAGTTCTGGCCTACAGATGCTGGTATGGTCCTATGTTCTCAGCACAGTATCGTCTGCTTGGACCAGACAGCAACTGGAAGCAAGCACGTGACATCTGTAACACAGCTTACACTGAGGGTTGTCTCTCTTTGCGACACGGTAAACTACCAAGGGAGGGAATCAAGAAATCAAAGGGAAATAGCCTTGCATATATCTTTGTCGCTGGTGGGTTGTCAGTGTTAGCCTCCGCTGTTTACTTTTGCTATCCTTTTCTCAAATATTACAATTAGTAAACGTATTTTATGACACGAGTCTTTTTTAGATACAATTCATCTTTTTTCAACGTTATTCGATGTCTTTGCTTAATAATGGGATCTTTCAAGTGAGCGCCAATTCTTTCAAGTGAGCGCCAATCTCCCATATCACCCCCTTAGCGCGCTCAAGAATTTAAAAATTTAAAAAAGAGAATATATACTTTGACCACTGCCCACCCCTCTCCACGGACCACGGTATTTTTAGGTCATCCAACCCCAGGAGCAAAGATTTGAAAATTACCATGTCTGACCTGTTCTAGAAAAACCAATGTCTGACTGGTATATTAGATATAACGATTCTATAATTATCCTCTACATACAATAATCTTAACTGTATAGGAAAATATTATTTCACATTCTTTAACTTACTTGGAAAATAATGTTGTACAGTTTTCTACTGAATGGGGAAATAATTTGAATATATTTTTAATTTCAAAACCTTAACATTTTTTACATTTTTTCAATTGACGAAATAAAAATATCAATGCATTGATATACATTTTATTGTTTTAGGGATTCATTGTGTAAATTATGTTTAACGTATTAGTACTCTTGTTGGTGTTATACTAATTGATATCAAAACAGTTTGTGCTGTAGTACGTTTATTTTCTTGAGTGTCTGACAACTGTTTTTATAATTACGTTTTAAAATGTATTTACAACAAGAAGGTAATTTCATATACGAGCTTGATTAGTGTGTTGAATTTGTAAGTTAATGGAGGTCCATTTATGTCTTCAAACTCTTAGGGGGAGTTAGAAGACAGTAATTTTGTGACACTGTGTGATTGTAGTGGGGATGCGGGGAGCTGTTCATATAGTGTTTTAAAATGAATGATGAAATTTTATCTTGCGTTTTTATTTTGCGTTTTTGAAAACTGTTTTTGTAAATTTTAATTAAGACTAATTAATATAATCTATGTTAATCGAACTCAGTCAATAATTTAGAATGAGATCGATGTTTAAAAGAACATCGATTTTCATGGGGTTCGGTTGCTCGAGTCGTGACGTCATTTATAGGGGGAGTCAATATTTTCGTGAACATGTGTGTCGGAGGGGATCAGGGATGTGAAAATATTTAACCGTGGCGTCAATTTTAGTGACCCTTAATTCCCATAGAAAGTTTCGAAGTCTCACGAAAAGTACTTTTTTTGGCACATACGATCCTAAACTAAAGGCAGGTCACACACAGCCCTAAACTGAATACAATCATTCAGCGGTCACTGCAACAAAGTGTTCCAACAACCAGCTAACTGGCCTGGAATACCGAATTTTTAAATAATTGTAATGTAGGCGATTTGATGGATGCTCAATAATCAATACAATACATGATTTTAGCATTAGACAAACAAATATAAACCTTCGACTTAAGTTACTTAATGTGTTATAACTTAGACATTAGAAAAATATGAATATTTTCATCCAAAAATATATTTTGATAGAACTTTTAAAAATCTGCTCTATTGTTTGTGGCTTAGGATGACAAACATGTATCTTTCCCATAACAAGGAGCCTGGTAAAATGTCCCTGATTCTAATCGTACAGGCTCTTCCTGTTGGACAGGCACGCGATTGGCGAACTTGACGGCAAGCGATGTGAACACCAGGTCGACGTTGTCCCCTGTTTTAGCGCTACACTCGACATACATGGCCCCAATGGTCTGGGCCAGGGAGGAGGCCGTCTCGTGGTCTATGGCTCGGCTCTCGGCCAGGTCAACCTTGTTGCCGACAGCATTTTTACCCGAATAATCCTGGACCTGTTGCAACCAATATTGGATGATGTCAAAGCTGGACTTTATCGTCAGGTCAAAAATCATAACAATACTAGCAACGTCTCTGTAATTACTCCTTGTTATCACGGTTCGGCGCTCTCAGCCAAGCGTATCCCAAATCTGTAGATTGACCTTAACCCCCAAATCGTCAACTATCTTGTTTCTGGAAAGAAATAAAAAAATATTTTAGCGATCAATAGTTTTATGGAAAAAGCTAGTCTTTGCATTTAAAATCTTATTATAAATATTGTATTATTATTTTTAGTAATGCGTTCTTAATGAGATCGACGCCATAAACAACTAAAATACGAATATTATAACCCGATCAATGACTTGCAATCTTTAAAAGACAATTACCTGCACATTCTTTAACCCATGGTTGCGCTCC